CAAAATGGTTTTCATTACTGACCAAGACCGGTGCTACTCTTATCGTTCTGTTAATAGAAGAATTTTCAACAAGTATTAGAAATTAAAAATTTTAAAAAACCGACTTCAAAAACGTGCAGATGCCATCACCACATCTTAACCAAATTTATATGGGACCACCCCTGAGGTACCCCCTTACTAAGAAAAAAAGAATCATATAAATCGGACAAGGTGGTAAAGCATTATCGCTAAACATACATAAAAAATGAAGAGTTTGAGGATTTTCTCATGAACACAATTATTAGATTTTGACCAAATTTATATGGGACTACCCCTGAAGTAGCCCCTTTCTAACAAAAAAAGAATTATTGAAATCGGACACCGTGTTAAAAAATTATCGCTGAACATACATAAAAAAAAATATCGCGACGAATTGAGAACCTCCTCCTTTTTTGAATTCGGTTAAAAAGGAAGAGGAAGATTTTGAATGTCAGCACGAAGAAGCTGACACTCGTATACTTTTTCATATGAATAAAATTAGTAAAAATTCGACAATATTAGTAACCGCCTCTGATACTGACGTTCTAATTATTTTACTAGACAACATCCATACATTTCCTGATATGAACATTTACTTCTCTAGGTCTAAATGTATGCCGTGTTTTGCCAGCCTTTCACGCATTTATAGGCTGCGACTACACTGCAGCATTTTGTAGACAAGGAAAAGTACGACCCTTTAAGTTGTTGCAGAAAAATGACAAATTCGTGTGTGCATTTGCATCTTTAAATAATGTGAATGACGTTTCCAATAAAAAGAAAACATACCTTATTGAGGAATTCACTTCACTAATGTACGGTGTAAAAAATTGATGCAGTGTTAACAGCGCAAGGCAGCAACTATTTGAAAAACTGTTTTTTCCAAAAAATAGCAAAAATGAGCATTTTATGCAAATAGTTAAAGGGTTGGATTCTAGTCTTATTCCTTCGTGACGGTCGAAATTTGCAGTGGGCTCTTGGACTATTAGGTGATATTTCTGTTACATTCAGGCCCGATAGTTTCAATATTTAATGTTCACTTTGCCTACTAAATTAGGTAAATTATGTTTTTCAATACTTTTTTGTCTACTTAACGATGATGTATTTTACTTTTCATGTAAATAAGGTTATGTGCGCGTGAATGATTGGATTTGTTGACTATTGGTATTAGATAAGCATACAAAACTTTTTTCAATTTAAATTTTTGAACCGTTACAATAACATACATTTTTATTACATAATTTTATAAATAATACAAATCGTGTGCCTCTCCTTTTAAATCAGATTAAGAGGAGTATTTACTTGGCTTTAGAGCAGAGCATACAAAAGTTTCGAAGATCCCCACTTTTAAAGTTTATTTTTGACTTTTTCTAATATAGTCAAAAATGCGGGGTACTACGAAACCCTTACAATGCAAGATTTTTCGTCTGGAAAGTGGCACCTCTGTTAGATTTTTAAGTAATTAAAATTTATGAATTAAAACAATTTATAATATATTTTACTGATGTTTTACGATGGATAAATATATTTTTCGTATTTGTACAACTTATTTTTTTATGTAAATCATTTCTGTAATATTAAAATTGGCATATATATTATATGCAAGGGGGGTTTCCTAGTACACCAATTTAACGGATTATTTTTTATTTTTACTACAAGAAAAATTATGTAAGTATAGGTAAAGGCTGAAAACTTACCTCTCTGGAGTCACTTTTTGAAAATTTGAATCAGTCTCTTTTGAAAAAGTGATAAAACAGTGATTTGAATTAATTTTGTTTTGTCTGTACACTTTGTTATTTTTTACATCCAGTAATTTCGCTCATTATTTTAAATTAATTTTATCATTTATTTATTAAAAAAATATATCCGAAATTAAAACGTATACAGTGAGATAAATTATTATTGTTTAACATTTATATCGCGTTGTTTTTTAATGAATACCCTTCGATATAACAATAATAATTAATTCCACTTTAATCTGTTAAAGTAATGTATATTTTTTCGAACTAAATAAATCAATTTTCTTGCTTTTGCGCGTGGCTTTGATCTGTCGCACTCATTGATGCCCGTTGCAAAAGAAGATTTTAAAAAAAGATTGCTAATGTCTATAGATGAGAAAAAAAAAACGATTGTGACACGAGATCAAGCTGATTGTGCATTGTGGCACAATAATAGACGTAAACGACGTCACTGCCTCAAAATTTGGAGAAATTTGTAAAAAATCTCATAAAATCTTTTATTTTTTGCTAAAGCCACTCAATATGGCATGGACAATGAATCCAGAGCAAAATAAGATTTGGAAATTTATTTGAAAGAAAAAGTTTTTAAATGTAGACTTTTTATTAATTCCGAATTTGATTATGTTGCGGCTAGTCCATATGGAATTAAAAAATAAAACAAACTCTATGATAGAGTTAAAATGTCCATATGGAGCTAGAGTGCTGACTGTAGAAAAAGGAATATGCAGTAAAAAAAATTACTTTTTTTCTTTCAATTCATTTGTAGCTTTTGCCCAAATGGATACATTTTTTAACTGTGCAACTTACAACTAGGTGGCTCATTATAACAGATTATCCCAACAAAAATAATTTTTGTTAAAATATAAATAATATGCTGATACATTATATCTTATGATCGTTACATGTTATAAAATCACAGGTCTTTTCATTTAACCAATTTACACATGGCTATCCCAAGAATATTATAAATCCGTTTGAACATAAAAAACAACAGATAGAACATATTTTTTAAAAACCTAGTTAATTTAAAAATTTAAAATGTCACGAGTTCGTTTATGGTCCGTTTACATTGGCCTCCTGTAACTAATACTTTGGCTTTTTGTATCGATGACATCTGTTGTACCGGAGCGAATGTATTGGTAAACTATCTGGACGCTTTTCAACTCTCATACAATCAATCATTGTAAAATAAATATTATTTTGTGCTATTGTGGAATATTTTTCAATTCCTTTGTCTCAACTTCGCGCGTTACAGTTTAGAATTATGTATACCTCGTATCTATATGCAATTGTTAAAATTATGAATGAATGCTGATTTTGTTTATCCTCGGAAGTAATTTTGTAGTATTTAGGCTGCACCTTTAAGTTGTAATTTTTATACCTACTAAACTACCGTTGCCCCGCAGGTCTTTCAGTTTGTAATGTAAATTTTCCTTTGAACATAGTTTATTTATTTTTTCTAACTTGGCAACTAAAACATGTTTACAAAGTAACAATGTTGAGCGAGAATAATTGAAATTGGCAAAGCATATGCAATACCCATCTAAAGCTTCAAGGTCATTTGATATTTTGCAGAATTTTACAATTGGGATCATTTGTGATAATGCCTTGATAGTTCAGTTATTTGTTAGTTTTACTTGGAAAGTTTTATGGGAGTTTTGAAAATGGATAATTTATTAGATTTCGATGTGCTCTTACCGAATTTCAACTTTGCCACCTCGTATATTTGCCATTCGCGCCGCCATATTTAAAAATGATGCCAAAAACCAGTTTCTTGACAATATTTCCTTTCCGATTTATTCCACGATAAATACATTTATACACAAAATAAAACTAAAGAAAATTTCCTAAAATTTGTAGAATGCTTTTTGTGAAATCAATAGTTTTGGCGTACGAGCGCCTCAAAGTCTAGTTCAACACGCGTTTTGGCTAAAAAACTTATTTTCACACTACCTTGAGGTAGACTAACCGGCCCGTTTTTTTAATGCTGGTATCCCCAGTGGGCCCAATCCACATGCAATTCACTATACCAAAATTTAACACATTCTCCTCCGCTTCGCTGTTCTTGAAGGACCAGGTGTTGCGAGTTCATTGTCTTTAGTACTGATCAAAACGTCACAGACCGAAATTTCTTTTACATCATCCGCGATGGGATTATCAGTTTCATCGCAATCGTCTTCGTTCTCCACTTCATCATACGTTTGCTCGAAAATAGTCTCCGTTTCTTTCTGGAGTTATCACAGGTACCACTACAATTCGTGCATATAATGGAGCACTTTAACCCAGCCTTTCTGCATCCAAAGGCTTTCTGTCATCTCTTTTTGCATTTGAAAGAAATAAGTTTCCATCCCCATTGCTCTGCATTTTGTTCATTTCCATACCACTACTGAACCTGGTGATAGGTTCGGAACGAATGTTGTCGTGCTGCTACTTCTGTTGGTGGTAGCGACGCATTATTAAAATTACTTTTATATGCTGATGTTGTGAAGAATACATCCCGTCGCGAGGATATTTCGGTCTGTTACTTTTCGATCGGTACTAAAGACAATGAACTCGCAACAGCTGGTCCATCAAGAACAGCGAAGCGAAGGAGGATGTGCTAAATTTTTGAATAGTGAATTGCATGTGGATTAGTCCTACTGGGGGTACCACAATAAAAAAACACGCAGTTTGCTTTACCTCAAAGTGGTGTGTAAATGAGTTTTTTTGGCCAAAACGAGTGTTGGAACTACACTTTGCGACGCTCGTACGCCAAAAATATTGACTTTACGAAAAAATGGTTATTAGATAAATTGTAGGAATTTTTTTTTAGTTTTATTTTGTATACAAATATATTTATCGTGAAATGAGTCGGGTAGGAAATATTGTCAATAAACTGCTTTTAGGCACCATTATTCCATTTTTTTAGGAAAGAGCACATCGAAGTCTATAAAATTATTTATTTTCAAACCTCCCGGTAAACTTTCCAGTTAACCCTTTTCTTTATAACCAAATGACTGTATTATGGATGTATGATTTAAAAACTGGCATGAGTGAGCTAGAGATAGGAAAGAATGAAGAAAAATAGTAGACAATTTGAAAGCCATCGGCGGCCTATAATGCTGTCATACACCAATAAATAAACGAGAGAATCAAATATAAGTTATACAATTTAGAAAACAAAAAAGTTGTTGGCTTTCAGGCCTTCAAAATTGCCTAATTTAAAAAAGTACAATAGTCACATCTTAAACATAATACAATACTTACTGTAAAACCAATAGCACTAGCAGGTAGATTTTTTAGCAATGCAGCCGCCATTTTCTTATTACTTTCATAACTATCAAACAGAATGCTGTGACAGTTCTTTACATCATCCTCTGTCCAAAGGCTTTGCCAATCGTCTACTGGTCTTAATGTCTGTATTATAAGTAGCAATTCCAAACTTACGGAACGACGCGGATAATTCGAATCAAATGTTAAATTAGAAATTAAAAATTTAGTAAAAGTTTCTATGAAAGTTCTATAAGCTACTCTTAACTCCTGGTAAACCGTAAGCACTTGGAATGCTTCATCAGTTGGTTCTAAGTTTTCCACCCTTTTTTCTAAGATTGAGATATTTCTTTGGATGACGTAGAAACCAGCGTTGAACCTAGAAAATAGAGCACTATTAATTAAAAGTACAACAAACAAACAAACAAAAAAACATTGACAAAAAATAATATTTTAAGATTTGAAACAGTTTAATAAATATAATATTGCCTAAAGCCGACTGTTCTTTATTTACTTTACCGCGCCATGGTGTCTGGCCCGCTGGCGAGATCGAGACCCGCCTTAAGACTCACTCAAATGTTTTCTCTCGCATTCCGACGCGTGGATGAAGAATTTCGAGACTGCCAAGAATCTCTTAGAGCAGGGCTGGCTTTATATAAATAGCGCAACATTGTTTAGCAGTTCAGTTGAAGTTGATATACAGAAGTTTCAATATAAATCGGAGATAAGGGACATGAAGATAAAAAAACGCTCATAAGAAGCCCATGCTTAACAGCGACCAGCTAGAACGAAGTTAACATGTGACTGACTATGTGGCGCTTTCATCGATATCAAACAACGCAGTAGGAAATTAAAAAACCTGATAATAAAGGTTGTATAAATATTTATATTTTTGGTATTTACGGGTTTTAATTAACAAAATGAATTCTCCTGGTAATAAATTTGTGTCGTAAATTACTGTGGTTAATTTACCGTAATATATTTTACACATACATGACTAATAATGACTTCGAAATGAAATTAAGGTGTGTAAGTGTCTGTGTCGAACATAGAATTGTTTCATTTGTTTGAGAATAAAACTAATTATTTGTTACTAAATATAATATATAATAAATTTAGGTTTAAGTAATACAAAACGCGAAAGTAAACAAAACATTAAATGAAATTTTATTGTTTGTACAGGTGCTTAATTTAATTAATTTGTATAAGAAAAATTCATTTTAATTTTATAAGAATTATATAAGATTATGTTTTATTAATTATATTTTACGTTGACATTTCACAATGAGCTGGACTAAATGAGATCTCTAAATCAACAATTTTATCTAGTTCAGTTTCGCTATCTACTTCAGACCAGTCGGATTCATATTCAGATTCAGACTCCAAAGAAGATTGTAATGAACCGGATGACATTCCGCTATATTTAAATTTTGTCTGATATAAGCAATTTTTTGTGCCCTTTCATTTGTTAGTCGATTTTTTTTATTTGAATGGACATTTCCATACGTTGATAAGCTTCGTTCTGTAGCAGCAGTTGTCGCTGGGCAATTTAATACTTCTACAGCTACTTTGCTCAACTTTGTTGTTGAACAAATCGATTTCCATCAAGTCACTGCTGACAGTTTTCCATTTTTTAGACTGGTCCATTCAAAGTCTTTAGCAAATAGGGCTTCTTTAGATCTATAAATGGCAATACTTTTCTGCAAGTAAATTCCAGCTAGCTGTCATGTTTCTTTAATTGTCTGTTGTAATTGACATAATTTTTTCTAAGCCTATTTCATCAATTACTTCGGATATAATGTTGCACATGAAAGTTGCTTTATGACGAGCTGCTTTCATATCTACTATTTTATATAACACAGACTCAGGTATGGTAAGAATATGATTACCATATTACAAAAACTAAAAACAAACAGTTCATCAATTAAAAAATCTTGAAATTAGCGTAAGGAGGACATTAACTATAGATTCATTGCGAATATTAGACCAACCATCAATTTGAATCCCTACAGTCTTAGCCTTTTTTACACCATCATATTCACTGATTAGTAATTTATTTGATAACTGATGTCTTGAGGGAAGTTTTAGTGCTTATTTTCACCGAAGGTGAGCGTTGCTTTCGCGAAATATGGTAAATTACAAGAAAATGCCGTCTATAATGGTAAATAACGATAAATAATGTAATTTTTTTGCAACAAAAATCGGTAATTTACTTTGTAAATTACTGTAATTTATTTCTGGTTAATTACGGTAAAATACCACGGTAATTTACCAGTTCACGTCTCTGATAAATATAGATTGCACTCTCATGTTCTGATAAATAAATTGAAATAATGTTAATTACGCTAAATTATTTATTAAAAAAATACTACACTTACAGTCTATTATCGATTAATTATTTTAAATTTATTCATGACAAATATTTTTTAATTTCTGATCGCTATTTGTAACTTTAACATTTTTGTTCTTATTTTCCAAACGAATGGCCAACGGTGTCTCACTTATAAAAATGTTGAGTGTAAACTCAATAATGGGAATTTAGATATTTTCCTTCCTATATCAAATCTTATCTCTAACGTTTAGAAGCCATTTTCTTATTCTGAAACAACAAATAATAATAAATACTTCTTTGTGACAAAAGTCGGCTACTGTTTGGTTTACTTACATGGCTAGATCTTACTTTGGCAAATTAAAAAACGCCACATTGGTGTTGTTAAATTTATTCATGTGGCATGTTTTACTAATGCAATACGTGCTCCGGCTTATTGTAATATTACAAAATATAATTAATGACCTCAAATTCCAAACAAAATCGATCACAACCATTTCGCTTAGTTCATCTTAGATTCTACGATATACATACAAATAATTGACATTTATATTTACAAACTGTCCACGTCTATTGTCTCTCTACAAACGACGTGTACCTTTAGTTAACATCTGAGACGCATAGTGACCCCACCGTTGCTGCGGTCGTTGCGTTTCCTATCCTAATGTCCCTGATCTCTGATATAAATGTTGTCAAGTAAAGATAAATTGTAAAATAAATAAATTAGAATTGTGAATTATAATAGTGCTTAAGTATTATAAATAAATTAATAAGTAATAGTGTACATGAACAACTTGTTTTAAATTTATTTATTATACGGGAAAACCCCATTATAAAAAAAATAATAAACAATAAAAAAATATACAGTGTCTAGCCAAATGTTTACATACTACAATAATACAAACCTATTAAGATATATTTCTGTTTTTTTTTTAAAGAATATAGATTGACAGAAGAATTGATATCTAACTCATTGGGCTTTCTGACTATTCTTGACAAAGGACTAAAATAGCCATATATTTGTTGATTGAAAGGGCACAATAAACAAGTCTTTGTTACTCGTGTTGAGGAATACGGAACTGAATAAGTTGAAGCATGTTGCTGCAATTAGTTAAACCCGAAATCAATTTAAATAATACAAGGTCAACAGTTAATATACGAAATTTCAGTGTTTCTAAATTCAATGATCTCTGTATATCCTCATACTCATATTCCCCATATTTTAATCCCAATTTAAATCAAAAGTATCTTAAAAACTTATTCTGAACAGCGTCAATAGACGAAATATGGACATTTTAAAAAGGTGTCCAGATGAGCAACCCATATTTGAGCTGGGATCTGACATATGCAGAATATATTAATTTCACTGAATTTGTCGAGAGACCACTAGATTTTCTCAGTATAAATCCAAGAGTTTTTAAAGCTTTACTAGTGATCTGATTAATATATAGGTTAAATGTCAGATTCTCATCGACAAGCACTCCTAAGTCTTTGATCTTAATTACTCTATTATATCGCAAATAGAATAATCAAAGATTATTTTTTTGTTGTGCACTCTACCAAATGAAATCATGTAATATTTAGGATTATTAAGAGACATACAGTTTTTCACAGACCAATTATGGAGAGCTTGTACACCAATTTGAAAAAGAAGACAATCAATTATATTACAAATAGCCATATAAAGTTTTAAGTCATCTGCAAAAAGTAGAAACTGTGCACGTCTACTATCTGTCTACAAACGACGTGTACCTTTAGTTAACATCTGAGACGGATAGTGACCCCACCGTTGCTGCGGTCGTTGCGTTTCCTATCTTTATGTCCCTGATCTCTGATATAAATGTTGTCAAGTAATGATAAATTGTAAAATAAATAAATTAGAATTGTGAATTATAATGAATAGTAGAAACAACAAGGACCCTAAGTGAGAGCTCTGTGGGACTCCAGAAGGCACCACAATGTTGTCTGAAGTACTGTTGCCAATCTTCACGATCTGGATCCTACCAGTTAAATAGCTTTTCAGCCATGAAATCAAAGGATCAGGAAAACCTAAAAAGTTATGTATAATAATAATGAATGGTTTACACGATCGAAGGCTTTACAGAAGTCAGAATAAATTGAATCCACCTGCAGATTGACACCAAATTTCGAAAGAATATCCTGCTGATAAACCATCATATTTGTAACTGTTGATTTACCTCTGGAAAAACTTGTTGTTCATCGATTATCGAATTATTACAATACCAAGAAAGATCACAGACAATTCATTTTTCAAAAAGTTTAGGAATAATGAATAGCACACTAATAGGTCTGTAATTCTGAATATCGTGTTTGTTGCCATTTTTGAAGGTAGGTACCACATAACTACTTTTCCAGATGTCTGAAAAATATTTTAACTTTATCGAGGAATTAAATAGTAAAAATAATGGACGAGTCAATGTGAAAATACATTTTTTCAGAAAGAATGAAGGAATTCCATCTGGTGCATGGCTTAATTTATCGTTAAGATTTAGTATACCATTAAAAACTTCTTGTACCGAAAACTTGATAGGAGGAATATGAAAGGTATTTTTAATATCTAAATTAATATTTGATAAGTCTGCTTTTTCATGACTGTGATTGTAAGTACTAGAAAAGTGTTCAGAAAATAAATCGGCGATGCGTTGAGAGGTATCACCTGCCTTATCATTTAAAAGCATAGTGCCAGGCAAGGAAGAGTAATTTTTTAAAGATTTATAATAGCTCCAGAAAAATTTGGAATTAACATGGATTGGAAAGAAAAAAAGAAAGAAATCTTTATACACTCGAAAAATACCTTTAGAGGTTGTAGAGCATGTCACAGTACATAAATATACATTTATTATACAGAGAATGTCTGTAATTTGAAATAAATTCAATAGTTCAAATACTAATGTTTTTTTTTAATGCTCGGACCCGCCGATTAGTATTTCCAAGGGAGATTTATTACATACAATAATAATGTATACAGGGTGTCCCAATTTAGAGATATGACGGTATCGTTGATTTTGTTAAATAGCAACACTGTCATG